GTAACCAGAATCTTAGCAAAAAACAGTATTAACAAAGCATATAACTGCTAGCCTATAATTAAAAAAATAAATTCTTAGTAAGTTAAAGATCTGGATGAAGGCCAAGAACTATTAAGATAGGTCATATCTTGATAAAAGCTAGATAAACTATCTGTTTAATTAATTTAGTTACAACTATAGAAAAATTTTATATAAATAATATAAATTTGTTAAATAGTTTTATTTTAAATAAACAGTAGCAAGATTGTCAAATTATTATAAAAAATAATTACTACTAATTATTTATAGTAAAAATCTTTTTTAATATAAATAACAAAAATATATATTAAGGTTTAGGCCTTATAGCTTAGCAGTTAAGCTTTCAAAACTTTACAAATGAAAGTAGTAGTTCATGTTGTATTAAAAACAAATTAATAAAATTTATTTCTGTAATCTATAGGGTCAAATTAAATATAAAACCTTGTAGAAGTCTATATATAGTACAAATCCAAAATAAGGAGTTCTCTAAAAGAGACCAGGTTGTGAAGTGTAAGCATTGTATATAATAGTAGCATTACAAAAGATTTTGTTATATAAAGATTGTATGAATAAGTTTTTCAGTTGTAGTAAATAAAAGTATCAATATTTCTATATTCAATGTATAGTATATTTGTATAAAAGGGTAATATTAAGATAACAAAAATTAAAGCAGTGAAAGAAGTAGTAATATACAACTATAGGATGTAAAAAAAGAATTATACTATATTTAAAATTAAAAGCACCTTTGGCACACTGCAATACCTATTAAAAAAAATTATCTGATATAAAGAAAGATTGGTAGACAACTTGAAATATATATAAAAAGCAGTCTGTAAAAAACAAGGTTATATCTAATTGAAAGTAGTATTATGAAATATATATATTAAAATACTAACAGAAATAAACACTAATTAATGCTTGCAAATTTGAAATTATATGTTTAAAAACTTAGTTGTAAATTTTAATATCCAAATTTTGTAATACTTATCATTCTGAAAAGTAACTATTATCAAGACCTGCATGTATATAACCAACATTATATGAAATTACAACACCAATATTAAAAGTAGTTATGAAGTTAATAGATACTACACTGAGTATCAAGCTGGATATACTTTGTTGTTAGTATAAGAAATGTGTGAAATTTATAAGGAATAAATCAATGAAAGTAATACATATAAACTAGGTAATATGTAGAGAGTACAAAATACTCTGGTAGGTTTAGGTTACAAATAAATAGTTTGTATCTTGTATTCTAAAATTAGTTAGATAAGTAGATGTATGAATAAACAACAATGCTGTATAGTAGTATGCAAACTTATAAATTAATAAAGATACAAGAGGAATAACCTCACTTTAATACTAAAAAAACAAAAATACATATTAAAAAAATCTTTTTTAGAATTATTAAATTTTAATTCTTTAACTGAATAAAAAACATCATCAATTAATTAATTGTCTATTATATATGAAATTGTCCTACTTTAAAACCTTCATAAGCAGAAAGAATTTACAAAATAAACCAATAAAATAATCAAAACAAACATGATAAACTATGTACATCTAGAAAATATTATGGACTAGCCTTTGGTTCATGCCTCTGGCAAGGGTAAAAAAGCAATTGTCAATAGCATAGTTAATACTCTATAGTAGAGCAATTTACATGATTTTGTGTTGGATTCCAGTCATGTAATCAAATAATTGGCTAATTAAGGCTATTCAAAGTTGATTAGTTTGTTAACTTCAATAACGAGGAGGAATTTAAACAAACACATATAATTCCATGAATACTTGATCCAATCTTATTTGTCAACCTTAATCACATGATAAATGAAGTTTATACTGTGCTGCGATTGGCCTGTTTAATTTTTCCAAGAGGGGGGATGATATTAACCAACTAATCAACTTTGAACGTTCTAAACTATATAAATCAACACAGATCAACCCGCCAAAACTACATTTACTGAAATTCAATACTGGACAAAGGGACAAAATGTTAATTTCTTCAAAAGATTTTTTTTTTTGCATAGATCAATTTAGAGATTCCGATTTAACTTCCTGAAATACATTTTTCTGAAACACCATATCACTGAAGTCATAATACCGAAAATCTATTTTACAAGCAGAACAGAAAATCAAATAACCGATAAGTTTATTTTATTAACATTATTTTACTGACAGCTCATTTTACTGACTGGTTTTTTTTTTAAAAAATTTAACCAACTTAACTAGTGTTGTTAGGCAAAACCTAGAGTTTTCGTGACAGACGAAAGGCGATACCTAGTTTCAACTTTCGTCAAAAAAAATTAAACCGGCGAAATGGCAAACTGGCGAAAGGTGGCGAAACTGGCAAAACTAATAAAAGGTGGAGAAATTGGTAGATGATGATAAATCTAGTACGCAAGGAAAGAATAGAAAGTAATTAAAGAAGGTTAAAACGTTTTTATATAATTATCAACCTTTTTGTTTCTACATATATATTTGATATCATGTGTATTATTTATGTTATCAACCTATTTATTAACAGTCAATTTACCACAGTTAATTTTACCAACAATTATTTTACTGATAACTTATTTTATAAACATGCTTTTTTTAAAAATTATACTAACCATTATTTTAATTCTAAACCTGACCTAATAACAATAACCGGAATTATCAATAAAATATTGATGAGTTAAACTCTTGATGAATTAAATTGTCAATAAAGTGAGTATTGGTAAAATTAACAGAACCCAAAATGTGTTCCGTTAGTAAAAGAAATATTTAAATTATAAAATCTGAGAAATGTCAATATTACTACCTGGCTAACCTACTCACGAATAGCCAGGTTTGGATTTCGGAATGGATACAATTACTACATCTAGCATAATATGCATAATTATTCTGTCATATACAATGCTTTTATTTAATTATAGGGTATCGTCTAAAGGTATTTTTTAAGTTGATTAATAATCAATTGTAAAGTAAAAGTCACGTGAGACATATAAATTACTACCTGGCTTTAGACGATCCCTATTATGGGTCAATGACATAGCAATTATTTCAGCCCTGAGACTTGGGCTAGATAAAATAGAGAATCAGAAATAATTGCCAGTAATAATAATGTTAACGAACAACTTGTGTATGGTACTTAAAGGAAATGTTAAAGAGTAAGAATCTTAACAATAAAATTTATTTAAATATTTAGATGGATTTATTTTACATAACTATGTTGATTTAATTATAAGTTCAAAAGCCTGAAGTTTAATTTTCTTGTAATACAACAAAAAACTAACACTTTTCTTGTTTTTATATAAGCCAAGCCATGCGCAAATTATTTTGATTCACTAACATGGCTCAGTCTTTTCAAAGTCTTAGAGGATTTGATCTTTGACTTTCTCCCTGGGTTTCATCTTTGCAAGGGTTTCGCCAGGGTTTCGCAGTTTCGTTAGAGTTTCGCCGTTTCGCAAGAGTTTCGCCAGTTTCGTCTTTCGCCATTTGCCAAAAATATTTTCGCCTAACAACAGTAACCTTAACTCTAATTCTAAATTTGTCTCTAACGACAATGGCCAGAATTACTTTGTCGATGAAATGACTGCCGTTTAAATAAACTGCCAATGAAATAAACTTGTCGGTTAATTGATATTCGGTGAAATGGCACAGACGTATTTCTGTCCCGTTAGTAAAATGGATTATCGGTATTACGACTTCAGTGAAATGGTATTTCAGAAAAATGGACTTCGAAAAAGTGAACAACTCAATTTAAATAAGATTAGAAACATTTTTTTACTTAAATAACATAAGTAGTTATGTTAATAAAATTTTGCAGTATAGCTCTTTAAAGTATGCATTTGCTTATGATTTATTATAAAATTTATAATATAAAAGTTGATTTTCCGAAGATCTTTTTGTCAATTTCGTCCCTTTTCTCTGCACCTAGCCCATATAGATTTAGCCCTAAGTAAAAATAGAACTGCATCAAAAAAGCAACCTAAAAATTTAAGTTGCCCTTTTCGTATATATACAGGTAATAAAATCAGCTTAGGTTTCACATTATTCTTAGTCATTCACTATAACGCCTAACTATAAACTATAACCCCTACACGATATAAAAGTTTAGGTATGCTGTATATAGGTGACAGAAAGGAAAAACCTACCTTACCAGATTAGTCTTTGCAAATTATTAGATTTGGTCACTTAAGAGATGATGAATGTGGTCTACTGTAGAACTAATCACGTAAAATCAGATTTTGAGAATATTGTGAAAATTAGTGAATCAAGTTAATGTAAATTTGTGAAATATCCTTATAAAAGTCGGTATACGGAAATGCACGTTGTAATGGAAAATATGACCCAGCCTTAGACGTATGACTAATGATCGTAACCGAACCCACTAGAAAACTATTTATTAATCAAGATTTAATGTAAGATGGAATGATCGAGAAAATTAAAAACAAACGTTCGCTTGTTTTTCAAAAATTTGCACAAGAAACCACTCTCGGTGCTTTAACAAAGGTTTTTCTCGAGAAATTTTATTATGTGTCTACCACCTAATATAAATATTAATATAAGCGAACGTAAAAAAATTTTTTATCAAGTTAAAGTAAAATTTTCGTGGTGATGCTGGGGAAGACCATCAGATCAGAGACCTTTAATGCACAATAATCGACATGTGCAGTATGATGGCATTTAATAAATATTATTTTGGGTTTGGCTTAAAGAAAAACACCCATAGAAAACGATAATAGAGTGCCTCTTGTTGTTGAGTGGTATAATCGAAGGCATTAATCTGTGTAAATGAGTATATAATAACTCCTTGTTAGCTATGATTCACCCCAATGCTTAAATCGTTATAATGCATAACCTCTTGATAAGATACTAAGTAACAAAAACTGCAATGGATCCGCTATGTATAAAAGCCCTTTGCTTTCATACATATAATGGTTTTGCTGTTTCACTAGAAACTTGCTGTTTTTCCAGAAGGTTCTGTCTTTCATCTTTTAGACATCTCCCGGGGTAAAAGTTATTAATTTATCAGCGCAATTCAAATGACTGTTTGATATTTAAATTCTTAGTCTCGTATAGTCGTTTAATGATTTTTAATTAAAGATTAGCCTATCATAGGAAATTTAATCAAATGATTTAAAAAAATACAGAATGATCAAATTCTTTGACGATCAGTGATTATCATTTTATCAGTTCGGTATTAAATCCGATAAAAACAAATACGTAAAAAAAAAGCTAAATAACTAGTAAGTGTGTGTATAGATTTATATCGGGTCACTGATTTTTGTGACCAAAAATCGTTTTTACTGATGTTCTGTAATTGGACCTACGCTTTTAGATATGTTTTCCTTTTTTTTCTTTTACATTACAGTATTATACAGTATTATATAGCAAATCAGATGAAAAGAACATAGGTAGAACAATAAACCTTTTTCACAAGTATTCATTCAAAAATATTTGGTGCGATATGCAACTTTTCCAAATATTTTCTTCATTATTGAAGTTTTTCCGTATTTCTCTCACATGTAATATAAAAGGTTGGAAAATGTCTAGAAGATATTTAGAAAGATTGAATGTTACACCAAGGATTTTTGAAAGAATACTTGTTGAAATGTTTATTGTTCTACCTGTGAGAAAAAGAGAGATATATGCCAAGTCACTTGCGGTTAGCGTTAGAGTTAGGGTTGGTGGTGCAGTCATAATTCTAGCGGTGCACCATGTATATATCAACGAGACCTTCTGGTGCGTGGTGCACCGTCAGGTGCACCATATGTAGTTTGTTAGTTTATTCTTTTTTAAATTAGCATTGAAATTTTTGATTAAATATAAATTTTAATATATAATATATATATTAAAATATAATAATATATAAATTTAACTCAAAAATTAATTAATTATTATTGAATTCATAAAATGTTTTAAATAATAAAAAATATTCAAAGATTATAACATTTCGATTAACAAACTTGTTGCCACAAACCATCTTTTTTTTGTACTGAATGATCAAAACTTTACAAATATTAAAATAAATAGATTTATCATTTAAAAATTTTCACAGGTCTTTGTTATTGATATGCAAAATTTTCAATAACATTTAAAAACTACTCAAGCACTAATTTAGGTCTTATTTTGACTTATCATAACAATTAAATATTACTGCAATTATTAGCAAATTACAGTAAAAGCAATATCTAATCAATATTGAAAATTTTCAGAGTATTTATAGAAAATAAGAAATTTAATAGAGATATTCGAATAAAATTTTTTGTAGGAAATTTAAATAAATATAAAATTTTAATATAACTTAAGTACATTAGAATTTACTTAAGTAGGTTCTAAATTTACATAGCAAGATTCTATTCGATATACAATGTATATATTGTACATATAGATTTATTTATTTATATATTCGTTTTTAGAATATCATTTAAAGTCCAATTGGTTGTATTTTCAGTTTTGTCTAAATTTTCTTTTACTTCGTCTAATGTTAAGATTAATTCTTCAATAATATCAAAATTAATAAACTCTTCCATAAATAATTCTGAATTATTTCGTATAGGTTCTAAATCAATTTCTTGAATGTTATTAAATTCTAATTCATTATCTTCGTCATTAATTAGATCTATTAAATCTAAAGAAAATAATGTATCATAATCATCTAAATTGTCATTATCTTGTTTTTCTCTAGTTACTAATTTTTCTTTAAGATTTTTTTTAGAAACTTCTATAGACAATGTGAGCTTTATTTGTGAAATCATTTTTAATGTTGAAGTGGATAATTGATTTCGAATTTTTGTTTTAGCCATACCCATACGTGAAAAAAGTCGTTCTACTTCAGCAGAATGAGGACGAATTGCAAATATCTTTAATGCTAATACTTTTAATGCTCCAGCTTGATGAGAGATTTTTTTCCAATATAATCGTGGTTCTAAAACTGTTAAGTTAAAAGGTGGATCATTATTATAATAGTCTAATAACTTTTGTGAAATTTGCTTGGCTTGTTCATATGTAAATTTCCATATTTGTGCGAATGTTAACGCATAAACTACCATATTATCAAAGGTTAGTTTTTTTGATACTGCAGCTTTACGAAACTTTGGGTTCAAAAAAAATGCTAAATAATATATAGGCTCATCAAATTCTTTTGCACGAAAATTAACTATATCTTTTGCATGATCAATTAATCCATAATCAAAATCTTCAAATTCACTTGATCTTAATTTTTTATAAATAACTAACAATTTGGCAAATATATCACCTAAAGTCGTATTATTGGATTCAAGTTTTGCAATCGCATCAACTATATATCGAAGAACTATAGTAAATTGTTCATTTTCAAGAAAATGTCGATGACTTGTAATTATTTCTTTAATTTTAGTCGGAATAGAAGGACATTCATTAGAAAAGTTAATATTATATTCAAGACAAGCTTGAAAACCTCCTTCATGATTTTGAACTGAAAGACAAACTTTTGAAAGTGAATACCATCGAGTTTCACAAAAAGTTTGTAGTCCATTTTTAACATTATTTTCTAGAGCCCATTGTTTTAATTTTGCATTCCAAAAATGTGAGCTAGTAAAAAAATTTACTAATGCCAAATTTCTTTTAATTGTATTTTGATATTGTTTGTATGATGAAATTCCCTTCGCAATTAAATTAAAAACGTGCAAGCAGCATTTAATACTAATAACATGTTGATATTTGTCTGAAATATTCTTCCGAAGCCGTACCATAACCGAAGGACTATCTGTAACTATAGCGATAATTTTATTAAAGTCTATAGAGGCATTTTTTAATGAGTTTTCTACTGCGACAAGTAAATTATTTGCATTATGTCGGCTATTAGAAAAATCTTCTATATTAATAACTTCATTGGTATCTTCAAATTTATGTAAAAGAAAAGCGTATATAGAGTTATTAGATATATCTGTCCACCCATCAAGTGAAAGAGTTAAATCACACATTTCTTCAATTCGATCAACCATTTCTACTAATACTCGTGCATATTCTGACTGAATTATGCTATGTGTTAATGTATATCTTGATGGTAGGTTATAGCTTGAATGTAAGTTCTTTAAAAATAAAATAAAAAATGGATTTTCAACAAAATTAAATGGAGTATTGCTATATATTAATGCTCGTAACAATAAAGTATGTAATTTATTAACTTTTTCTGATGACATAATAGCTTTATCAAAATAATCAGTCATTAAAACTGCTTTGTGAGTAGAAACTTTAGTAACTTGTTCAGATTTTTCTTTAATTATTCGAGAATAAATTATTCTATTTTCAGCTGGAATTTTACGACAGATATTGACTATATGATTTGTCATCGCTTCTTTACGTGCTTCGAATATTTGATCACAATATGTACACTTTGCATTATATCGTCGAGCTTTGTCATTTTTAAGTTGTTTTGAATGCAAAAAACCTGTCCAATGTGTACCAAAATTCTTAGGAGGTGTTATAAAATCTTCATTCGAATCTAAAATATCAGAATCGATAATATCTTCAGAGTCCATAATATCTTCAGAATCTGTAATATTTTCAGAATCTGTAATATTTTCAGAATCCATAATATCTTCAAAATTCATAATTTAAAAATAATAGTAATAATAAGAAATATTATGGATAAAAAATAAGGATTTAAAACAATAAAAGTAAAATATTTATACGATAATCTTAAAGAATTGTTTAGATTGTAAGCAAATAGGAGCTAATAAATATATAAAGAATTATTACTTTTATTTAGTGTTTGTAATTAAGTTGATCGATTGGATAATGCGTTTAGAGGTATTTTGGCGTTAAGAAGTATTTTTTATAAGATGTTTTTACTGCACTTTTTATATATTTTTATTAACCATTTCCGCTAGCTATTTTATTTTTAGATCTTTCTTAAAACTATTACTCCTCGATATTTATTTCTCCTTAATCTCAGTTCAGTTTGGGTCTCATGCTAATATAGAAAATATAATTCAGCGTATAATTAAAACATGGGAAGATAATATAATATATGCAAGAATTGATTGGGATATAAGACAATTGTATATGATCTAAACTGAATAAAACTAAATGTAATAGAATCGCAAAGAGAAAAAATTATGCAGGCAAATTCTCTTTTCATAAGCATAATACTATAACTTTTGTAACTTTGTATAACACTATTCCAATTCTGATCATTTCTTCAGTCTTATAAATGGTACTAAAAGTAACATTTATAAAATTACTATCAGAATTGGTAAAAATGGTGCAAGAACTTAATTACAGAAACTGCATCATGAAAATTTAAGAATATTTGATTAATTACTAATGCAACTAAAAAATAGCGCACTTATACGTATGTACGTATAAACACATAAGTATAAATGTTTTAAACTTTTATAAATACAATCCTTAAACAATACTGCGATAATAGTTGTACAAATCTCTGGAATTCTTGGCGCAAACATTTCTGGTATTTACGTACGTTGTAGAAGTCGAATTTACCCCACTTGGAAATGATGAGCAATCGACGTGACACAGTCGTTCAATTTTTTAAATTTATTAAATTCATTAAATTCGTTAAATTCATTAAATAGAATGGATTTATAAAATTGAAGAAAATGATAAAATAGAAGAAAAAGAATGAATCAAAGAAATTAGTTAAATTTAATGAAGTTATTTCATATGTAAGAATTTAATATATAAGCGACCAATATTTACCTTAAATAAAGTAACTCAGTTGAGTTCCAAAGCTTCGAAAAGTAAATAGTAGAAGTTGGTTCTCTAAAATTTCCCCTTGTCGTTACATTTCGATATTCGTAATTCGTTATTTCGCTCGATTATCGTATTTTTTTTTACCCCGAAATTCGTAGTAGACCTGTTATCGTAAATTAGTAGAGAGAAGAGAAAGATCGTATTAGTAATCCAATTCCTTTTATAAGAAAAACCCATTGATTAAATCAGTGATCTATTCATTATTAAAAAAATACATACGTAATTCGATTACGTTGATTTCAGCATCCACTGATGCTGAAATAAATCACGTGATCCCATGACCAGAAATTAAGCAGTATACTGGAAACTAGAGGAAGTAAACAAGATATTAGTATTGACCCTCATATAAAGTACCCGAAAAAACCCACTTAGAACAAAAGAAATACTTATCCCGGTCCCAGTAGTATACCCGCAAGACCCTAAGCCCCCAAACTCAACCAAATCTACTCCCGCCTCGATCGAAGCCTACCAATTCGGGGCTTTTAGGTCTTGTTAGTTATTATTTGAGTAGTATAGAGTCGCTTATTATTCTATTTATTGATACTAGAGTCAGGTTAAACTTCTACAACGTACGTAAATACATACATAGTGGTAGAAGTTTTTTTTTACCGGTATATTGTAACCTTTATCATCACAACCATTTTATCTAAACATGTATATTTTTTCGCTCTCGTAATTATTGTTAAAGTCGTGAAAAAAAGAAAATAAGAGTTCAAATCACGTTACCAGTTACTTATATAGTGATTAACTCACCAAATATTATTAATAAACCAATTATACGGGATACTCGTGACCTGTGTCATGATCAATATAATAACCCCGCTGAAAAAGAGAACAAATATTAGAATCATCAGTATTAAATTAAGACAATTACTGCTAGAAATATCAGAAATAGAAGTAAAGAATACTTATCTGGACTCCCGAATAAATAAAGTTTTATCTTTATAAAAATGAAGGAATAAATAAGATCGTAAGGTCAACTTGAGAATTATTTAGTCGGATTGAATTTTTTTTTGCATCGTTTTTGATTAGTAAAGATTTAAAGATTATCAATTTAAAATCAAACTTTGCCAAACATATAAAGATTTTTAAAGCATGGATTTTAAAATGTAGATATTGTTATAAAGATCATTATTCTGTATCGGAATGTAATATTTATATAATGTACTGTAAATACAAAACTTTTAAGTCGTTGGTAAAAAATAAAATAAATATAATTGGCTCGCCACTTCTGCACCATACCCACCTTGGCGTGCCAGGTGGTGCACCATATTGGTGCACCATTGGCGCCGCCAGGTGCCTTGCACCACCAACTCTAGTTAGAGTCCATAATGACATCATAAGAAGTGCGAAAAACTGGTTTGAAACTTGTGAGAAATTTAATGTTATTATTTGTATATGCGTTGCCAAAAAAGATTGAAAACTGGTATATTATTGCCACCTATAATTCATATGCTACTCAACACCGTCATTATGGAGAAGAGTTATCTGGCACATTCAAATTTTTTTATCCCCAATTCTGCCATATTATGGGGGATTTCTTAAATCCGATGATATGGGAGCGTTGTAGTCTGTGTAAAGCCAAATATATTTTACCAATTCGACGTAAAATGCATTATGTCTTGTAACTCATTCGTGCATCAGGAACATTCTTGTGCTGCATTTGGCACCACATACTTTAATCTTGATCCCAGTGGAAGGTATTATGCAACATTCGCCAAAATATGACCTTTTTGTTTTTGTTTGGAACCAATTTTATGATTGCCCAAGACCAAATTCTCTTCTAGCACCATTACTAAAATGATTGACACGAATTAGGTGGGTTTAGCCACCGTCGATCATTTCCTTTTAATCCTGTAATACTAATAGTGCATCCCATGACCATTTCCTGAATCATGCGCTTTAACCTTATCCATACCTTTAGGTATGATTTCCAATCTCAAGGCCATTTGACTGCCAAGAAAGAAAGCACAAAGATAAGCATTTTCTTACAGAACTTATTCTTTTTCTCTTGATCCTTACCCATAATTTATTATTCGTGAGCAATTTAATCCAGATTGTACCTAACCTTGCGTCAAGCATATCTGGTAATATCGGAGCTTTTAGTCCGGTACATTTAAAGGATTAGTGATATATAATATATCTAGGAAGTAATTTTGGCTTATTCTTTATCGACTAATCTTTAAGTAAACATTTCTAGTTAGACATTATATGCCATAATCTTTAGTATCATATTTAATACAATATAGAAATGAAATATATAAATTTTCATGCTAACAACTTTTACCTAATAACTGAAAGTTAATTTTCATAGAAAGTTTATGATAACAGTAAAATTTGGAGTACGGCCTACATAAAAGCAGATTAAATCTTAATTTATTTTTGACGTTGCACATTAATATCAAACTATATAAATGATAATTTATCTATCTACTGCAAGAAAACCAAAATTTTAATTTCTCATCAGAAAGTGTGCGAATTCAGAAATTAGAACGAATTTTTAATATTTCGCAAAAAATTACAATAGAATTTTTGTTTAGTTGAAGGCGTCCTTCTTTTCTTTTCCTATTTCATATTCTTTGAAGATATTTTACTAGCTTTAAATTTTTTATAACAATTATTTATCGTATTGGTATTAAATTTGATTTATACTTTTAAGCCACTTCTTATTTATCATACTGTGAGAAGATTGCTTTTGTTCGACATGATCAAGTCCTACACATAAACACATAAACACAATAATGATTGATATGAATATAATCAGTAAGTCATAAATTTTACTGAAGGAAAGCGATTTTTTTTGTTTTGTGTTTATAACGATCTTTTTACGGTAGCAGAGACTAAGATAACTTCCGAAAATGTTGCACAGAATTACAAATCCAGAATTTTCTGGTGTAAGTCGCATTGCATTGCATAGCGATATCTGATATAAAATGTATTAAAGTGAGTCGGCAGCCCCTCAAGGTGTAGCACACAGCATTATAGATGCAAATTTATTTACACACTAGTTATGACTCAATTGCATTTTATTATATAAACCGATTTTTTATATAAGATTTCATAATTCTGCATCTATACACAGCATATAATATAAAATTACGTATAATATATAAAATTACAATTGACAAGTTATTGATATTGATATCAAATACTTGTCAATTGTAATTTTATATTATATGCTGCGGCTTGTGTAACCCCACTTTAGGTATTCAGTAAAGTAGTACCATACGCTAGTATAAATTCGGACGGACATACGAAAATTATACTAAATTTTGATAGTACGGCTAATATAGACTTGTAAAATTTTATATAAGTACGGTAACCATTTTTTTATGGTTAGGGTTAGGGTATCCTTTTTTCATGTTGGGGTAATTAGTAAAAGTAACATGGGCCTGACGAAGCTTTTCTTTTACAAACCGTACGTACTATCTTGATTTCTACACGTCCGTCCTAATTTGCGTTTCCGTACTGTACGTGTCTACTGCATAGTAGAAATATATTGCAACGTTTAGTTCGTATAGTTTAACATTGTTTTTTTTTTTATAATAAACTCACTAATTTAATTTATAAACTAAAGCTATGCGTATTCTCTGAAGAATATTTGTTTCAATATAAGTTTTATATGCATGATAGTTTTGTTAATAATTAAATGGATTTAAAAAATATTATTCAAGAACGTATGTATGTATTTCAAATAAATTCTTATCGTATAACGCTACATATAATACCCCGGATACTATTCAGGTAAGCCGGCTTAGGCTCCAAATATTGGGAGATTCAAATAATTGTTACTGATCAATATATCGATATTCCTTGCTATTAGAATAGTAAACCCATTGAAAGATCGCACTATTAATTATGAAAATTTGGCCACAAATCGTTTGTCAAAAAAAGGGGGATGGGTACTATATGCAGCACTATACGGTATGACTGTAAAGTTTCTATTGTAAAGCAATTCGAGTTATGAATTGCGCTTATTGATTGGCTGCATGAGTTCAATTAGATGGTTTCTGATTAGTCGACTACAAAACACTACATCAATAAATAAGCGAAACAATTTGTTTGTTGCAGCTTGATATACATAGGAGTACTCATCAGTTTCACAATTCTGAATCAGCTATACTGGAATAACAGGGAATAATTGATTGTTGGGGCCATTAATTGCAATTTTTTGAACCCAATTAATTGATTGGGTGCATAGCCACAATGAGTTAATTAATTGCAATTAGCTTACATATCATATGTTCGCCATCAAGAATATTAATTAATATAAATACATGTGGCTTTTAATTTTTCGCTTTTAAAAAATTGTAATACCAAGTATTGTATGCAGGTATAGTGAAAGAAAAACTGAATTTAATCTCAATTATTTGCAATTATTTCGTCATTAATTGGGTTTCATTTCAAATATCGATATGCATATTGTAAAATCCAGAGATCATACGCCGCTTGAGATACGTACGTAACATGTCAGTACTCACCTTTAGCATTGTTTTACAGTCTATAGTCAGTAACTGATTGTCGATCGGATAATTGACAGCGATAGTCATTATTATGCACGTGTCTATAAATACACATTATAATTAGTTAAATTAGTAATCGTTCAGTTGACTTTTTTTAAAAAAAAAAAAATGAATGCAATACCGAATGAATGTCTTTTTGAAATACTTAATAACTTTCGTACAAGTCATGGAATTTTATTTTCTTGCCTTTTCGTAAATCGTCAATGGTGTGAAAATGCTGTACAAATATTATGGAGCGAACCAAATGAATGTTTCAAAGAAAGAAGACTTATAAAGATTTATCTTTCATTGTTGAATTCCAAAGAACAAGCTCTATTAATACCATTTGATATAATACTTCCAAAGAAACAAAATCGTTTATTTGATTATTCTTCCTTTACTCAATCTATTATCGGTTTTAATCTGATCTTTGGAATTATAAATTGGCTCAAAAATGAAGGTCATGGTCCTCGTGATTTAACTGATTATTCTGAAGATACTTTTTTTGATGATGATGATGATGATGAGGAGGATTATGATACAAATATGAAAGCTATGAATCTTGTTCAAACTGTCAAATGTTCTTTGATTGAAATGTTTTTACGAAAATGTCATAATCTTAAAACTTTACGAATTTCTGGAATTATTTATAATAGAATACTTGTTAGAATTTATGAAAATTCTACTATTACTACCTTAAGTCTTTACGATAATAAACTTAGTTTTAATGAAGTAAAGGCCCTTTGTGAGCATCCTTCAATTACTTCTTTAGATCTTTCTTGGAATTATTTGGATTTGGATGGTCAAAAAGCTTTATCTATTCATTTTTCTGAAAGGTTAATTTTTTTGGATCTTCATAATAATTTACTTGGTTTCGAAGGTAGTAATGTTTTGTCTAATACTCTTTATACAAATTCCACTCTGACTTCCTTGAATCTTGCCACAAATCGTATTGGTTCCGAAGGTGGGAAGGTTTTATCTAAAGCTCTTTGCGAAAATTCTTCTATAACTTCTCTAAATCTTTTTGGTAATCAACTCGGCCCTGAAGGTGGAAAACTCTTTTCCATGGTTCTTTGTATAAACACTACTTTGACAACTTTAAGCCTTGGTCATAATCAACTTGGTTACGAAGGTGGAAAAGCTATAGCCGATGCTCTTTATAAAAATAATACTTTAACTACTTTAAATCTTAATGGTAATCAACTTTGTTCAAGATTTGGAAAAGCTCTTGCCGATGCTCTTTGCAAAAACGTTTCTTTAACTTACTTGGATATTTGTATAAATAATCTTGGTTTTGAGGGTGGAAAGGCTTTAGCCGATTCTCTTTACAAAAATACCTCTTTAATTCATTTAGATCTTGATCTTAATGGTATTGGGTTTGAAGGTGAAAAAGCTTTTTCAAAAGCTCTTTGTAAAAATTCAACTTTAATCTCTATTGGACTTGGTGATAATCAAATTATTGGAAAATCTATAGCATATGCCCTTCGCAAAAATAATTCCTTAAAATCTTTAAACCTTCAAGGTAATGAAGTTGGCCTCGATGCTGCAAATGCACTGGCTGGTGCTCTTCGTAAAAACTCTTCTTTGCTCTCTTTAAACCTTTGGAATAATCTTCTTGGTGATCAAGGCGCGATATTATTGGCTGAAGCTCTTTACGAAAATTCTACATTGAAATCTTTAGATCTTGGTGCTAATAAAGTTGGTTGTCTTGGTGGAATGGCTTTTGCCGAGGTTTTTTGTAAAAATTTCACTTTAACATTCTTGAGTCTTTGTGAAAACGAAATTGATTTTGATGGTGGAATGGCATTGGTAAAGGCTCTTAATGAAAATAATAATACTTTAACTACCTTAGATCTTAGGAATAATTATTTGGATCTTGAAATAAGAAATGAGATGTTGAAGGTTCTTGGAAAAAAGATTATTTTATGTTAGATGATTGTAATGAGGAATGAATTTTAATAAGTTTTGATATATACGACATTTAAAGTTTAGTTTAGAATTATTTATCTGTATGGAAATCGTTATATCAAATTTGGATTCAAGTTTGGATTAAGCGTTGGTAATGTACAAAATTTGATCTGCTATAATGTACAGGCGCATTTAGAAATTTATTCTCTAATAAATAGATAAATTTATTATTTAGTATGCCTATTTCTGATTTCTTAACACTTTATTGTACAACAAATTTTTAATCGATTCTAAATTATATCTATATAAACTCTCAATATAATGAAAACTGTAAAATGAAATTCAATATAAATTTTCTAATATTTTATTTAAAAACATTATAATAAAAGGATACTATAGTGCACCAAATTATAGACCAAATAACAGATTAAAAAAGAAATCTTACTGATCTTGGTTTTAGCGCGAGTATGTAATGAAATTATCTAATTTATACTGAATTTGATATCGAAATAGAGTTTGGTTTGGAACAGACATTATTTGGTACGCATGTTATAACCGATAACCGACTAAAATGGATTTACTATTACCATACGTATTAGTATTAGAATTAAAACCGGTTTCAAACGTATGGGACACGAATTTGTTCCTCGAATTTTAGAAAGTGTTATGTTGATCATTTTAGTGTCGTACGATTCATACATATAAAATGTTCGATTACTGTATTCGTTATTTAAATAAAGCGCAATATTAATGATTAAAAGAATTATTGTCATTTTTTTGCAACTGTATATAATTACGTGTTTTATTTTAAATTTAGCTTGATAAAAGAAATATTATTAACAATAAATGGATAAATATGATGAATCTCTTGTAAATTTAAATATATCATTAGAAATTGATAAAATAGCATTGTTAATCAGTGTTGGCAAATGACAATATCATAATGTCATATGATATGTCTGCATGATATAGAATCATATAATTCATAGAGTTAGCTAGGGCGGCCCCTCCAAAGTGCCAGTGACGTAAGACCAATTAGTGCAACTCATTGGTTCTCTTCTAGTTGCATATTGTAGATCACTTGTTTTAGATAACAATTGTACGTACGTACGTAATTCAATATTACAATACTGTATATATACTGTGGCTGCGTCACTGGCACTTTGGGGGCCGCCCTGGCTAAATCTAATTCATATGCCATATGATATAAAATCATGTCATATTATTATTACAGTCAACCCCCTCTATAGTCACCTCCTCTATAGTCACAAAATTGGTATAATTACTAATTTATTTTTACCAATTATTTATAACTATATAGAAAATACCTATATATTAGTCACACCTCTTTATAATCACGGTTTTTTGTATCCCGAAGGTGTGACTATAGAGGGGTTTGACTGTATATGACATATCATATGATATTGTGACATGACAATTCATATAAGTCATATGAGTCATACGACATCATTGTCCAACACTGTTGTTAACAGCATTAAATAATCGAGGACTAGTATAGGTAGATATAAAGAATCACTTATAGATTTAAATAAAACATTAGAAATCGAGCCAAACATTGTAGGAGCATTAAACAATCGGGGAGGAACTTATTGCAAAATAAGCTAATATGAAGAATCACTTGTAGATTTAAATAAATCATTAGAAATCAACCCAATTTATACAGAAGCATTAAATAATCGAGGATTAACTTACCAAAGCATGGGCATATTAAGAATCACTTGTAGATTTAAGAAATCATTAGAAATCAACCCAATTTATACAGAATCATTAAATAATCGAGGATTAACATACCAAAATATGGGTAGATATGAAGAAACACTTGTAGATTTTAATCAATCATTAGAAATGAATCCAAATTCTGCAGAAATATTGAATAACCGAGGATAAACTATCTTTTAATAGGAAGATATGAAGAATCACTTGTAGATTTAGATAAATCATTGGAAATAAATTCAAACTTTGTATAAGCATTAAATAATTGAGGATTCACTCATATTAAATTAGGAAAATATGAAGAATTACTTGTGGATTTAAATAAATCATTAGAAATCACTGCAGGAGTATTATCTAACCGAGGGTTAGTTTATCATAAGATGGGCAGATGACATGAAGAATTACTTGTAAATTTAAATAAATAATTAAAAATAAATCCAACCTTTGAACTTGCGTTAGTTAACCGTGGGTTAATTTATCTAGAGATAGGCAGAGATGAAGAATCACTTGAAGGTTTAAACGAATCATTAATTGAATCTTACCGTACGAGTGTACAAAATACTAGCGGGGAAACATATCTAAAGTTGGAACATGTAAAAATCGTAAGCGGCCTAATTCCGAAATTGACTTCTGTTATTTATGTGATTCTCAAATAAAGAAAGAATGGACTGGCGGAGATAAGATGCTAGATGAGTTTAGAAAAAATGCACAAATGATACACCATATTTTCATAAGGTTATTGAATGGATATTAGAGCTTTGATCCAGTCATCCGTTTTCATATTAAATTTAACGGATATCCTACGGATTTTACTATTAAATTTGCATCCAACAGATAACCAGATCCAAGCTCTAATGGATATCTTTTGATGGATTAAAAAATTGGTAAAGATTGGTTTAGCATAATTTATTCTGCTACTTGGATTGATGGTAAATGAGTTAATGGTTGGGACAAAACAAGTGAAAAATTAATACAGGCACGTGAGCAATTTTACAACGTTGCGTTAAAAAGTTTAGATGAGGTAAGAAATTACATAGGTCGTCTTTAATAAAAATAAAATGAATAACGGCTTATTTTTGGATTAAGTTTAAAGCACATTATGAATGTCAACATGAATAATCAACGTAGAAAAATATGGAATAACTTATGATACAAATAGCAAGGAATGCATGATGATCTTTGGATATGCAGATAAAAGGATTTTCGATGTTATTTATCGGAGAATTTTACAAGACTTACTTGGAAGCAAAAATTAAACCTACTCTATTCTTTCTCGGATAATTTGGATTATATTCATCAAAGATTTGTTCATAAAGATCTTCACAATGGTAATATACTTATAGTTAGTACCGGAAGTTATGATTTAAATGCTTTATTACAGTATATAGTACTTATATTGTGAATCATAAAGCAATAACGATTACACGAAATTTTGGTAAAAAGTCGAATATAGAACCAAAAATTTCAGACTTAGGACTTTCTAGTAGAATAAACGAAATTATTATAGAGGGTGGACATATGGAGCAGTACAATATGTTGCTGATGAAATATTATTAGGCCAAAATATACTGAACCTTCAGACATTTGTAGTTTGGGTGTAATTATGTCTTTAAGTTTCAACCGGAAAACCATCCTTCGAAAATTTATCATGTATGGCAGTACAAACACAAAAAGTTCTTAACAAATTATAACCAGAATTTGCAAAAGGAACATCCCCGAATGTTATGTTGAACTTGCAAACCAATGTATGGATAGATATCCAACAAAACGACCAACGGCTAAAAAAGTTTATGAGAAATTAAAAGAATTAAATAATGAGTAACTTAAAATTAAAAATGCTTTTTTGAAAGCTGATGAAATTATTTTTCACAATTTGAAACTTTGCAATTTCATCCAAGTGTAAAGTATACAACTCAACTTGAAAAAGATGAAATTATTTATTCACAATTTAGATCTCAACCAATTCTATTAGGTAAACTCTATACTATTTTTTTCTTGTAGTAGTATTATTGAAAGCAAATTTGTCATTTAATAGATTCTAAATTCTTAGATCAAAAAGTTCTATTTCAAAATCAAATATGCATCTAAAATTTGTATCTATATAAGAAAAGTCGTCATTAAAGTCAGAACAAATATACTTTTTTTTTTTTTTTTTTTACGGTTTATAGAATGACCTCATTGGTCGGGGGTTTTCCCTTTATTATTAAAGTATCTACAGTCCGTATTTTTACAGAAGGGTTTACAGTAACATATCAACGAGGGTACAATAAGCCACATGTACAACTTTAGTCATTGTCTATTTAAGCGTTCCGCCTGTAGGTTCTCCACTCGTTGCCATACCTAAGAACCGCTTGTGGGTCCTCTATTTAAACTCTCTGATTTTCAATGTTATTTTGCTCATATGATCTTTAATTTAGATACTTGGTTCAATCTTCAGGTTACTTTACCCATGAGGTAAATTCTACTGAAGGAGGTAGTTCTTACAGCCACACCTTATCTGGATTTTATTGTGCTAGAGGTGATTCCATATCAGGTAAAGTCAATCTTTTTCACATTTCTTACTATAGTAGTGCACATGCTCTGCCATATCAGTTTCTTTCTGGGAATTCCTTAAACCAAACATGTATCTTTACATGGACTTTTACAGGGTTTCACATATGATTATAGGCTCCTTTTTAGATTACAGAGTATTCTACCTCCAGCCAAACTCAAACTGTCAACCTTGTCTGTAGAGGATAGGAGCTTATCCATTAAGCTATAGGACCTGAACAAAGCCCCTAGTTGTCCCACAAAATTTTTTCCACCCCTTGTAATAATGATCAATCGAATTTCAGGATCAGGTGTAATGTGAAAATTGAGATGAAGCAAAAAAACAAGAATAGCTTTAAATTTTAATTAGGCAACTACCTTCTGTGGTCTAACGAAAAATGTTCCTTGTAAAATTTTATTTGTAAACATTACATTATCCTAGTCCTAACCTTAACTTTAACACAGTTTTCTTAATATTAATTTTGTACGTAACTTTTTACTTAGAAAACAAACACGTTTGTTTTAACTATTACATTACACCTGACCCTGAAATTCGATTGGTCGTTATTACAAGGGGTGGAAAAAATTTGTGGGACAGCTACCTAAAATGACCTGAACCCCTATAAATATACCTTTAATATGGTTTTAAACTATATTTTTTTCTTATTTTTTTTTTTTTTTAAGGTGAGGCCTTGCTTATATCTTTATTGATAGTTTATAAGCACCAAGAATACAGCAATAACTAACTAAATAATTACTACAATTTGTATCAGTACAAATAGAAATAAAACTATATTGCAAGA